TACATTTCTCATTTCCACCTAGGTGCTATCCACCAAAAACATCAGGGATATTCCCAATGATGTCCCCACAAAGCTGTCAGCCATGAAGATGCCAAAAAAGGAAGACACAATTGTGACTTGCCACCAACTGTGCCACTACAGTGAGGTCAGTCTTTCACTGTGAATTTTATTCTTCACTATTGTTTTAATTTCCTACGATTTCTCTGTTTCTCTTTTCCTGTATTTAATGTTGAAACGATTTTAAGCATTATTTGTAAAGTTGCACCCTTCATGTGATAAAGGAATGGATAAATGATTTGGGAATTAAATAACCTCAGTAATACCAAATATCAGCATTGATACAATCAACCAACAACCCAGGAGGCCTAGCTAGGCCTGATTTTTTGGCATCAGGTCTTTGCCATCAGAGGATCAGATTCTGTCAGCTGACACTCCAAGCCATCTCAGTTTGGCTTATTACCTAGGCAACAGGAAAAACTGGCCGGGGCTTGCAAAGTCTAGCTATCACAGAGTACTTTAAACTGTCTCAGATATTTTCCCTGTGATGTCAGACTGTTCACTCATTTTTAGCACGTCAGCTACAGTTCCAATGTGCATGAGTAACTGCAAATTCATTTGCTTTCACAAATGACTGAAAGAAGCTTATTAGCCAATCAGCGTGCACTTTGTCTAGCTATAGAAAACAGGGCAAAGCACAATGGCCTCATACTGCAGCAGAAGAAATATTAGGTTAGAGATTAGGAGGAACTCTCTGACTATAAGGGAGCATAGACCATTGGAACAGGCTACCTAGGGACACCGTGGAATTCCCGTCCCTGGAAATTTAAGGCCAGGTTGCACAGAAGCTTGTCTGGGATGGTTAGTCAGGGGTGATCCCCTCTTGAGCAGGGGGCTGGATTCGATATGGGGTTCTCAACCTTTTGTGGCAGGCTGGCCGGTGGCAGCCTGGCTTGATGGCTTGAGCCAGATGGCTCAGGCTGATTGATGGGGCCATTTCCCTTCCCCACTGATCAGAAGAAGGCAGGAGGAAGGCTTGGCCTACCCTGACCTAGGGGTGAGGTAAAGAGGATCTGAGGGTGAACTAACCCCTCAGGCTTTCTCATTGGTCTGCTTCCAATCTGGCTGCACAATGCAGCACGGGTCCCCAACCCTGCATGAGGCAAGAGCCCTTGGTGCATGGATCGGGGCACAGGGCTGTGAAGCTGAAGGGATTGCCATGAGCTGTACGAGGCAGCATGGGTCCCCAACCCTGCATGAGGCAGCCACCCTCAGTGCACAGACTGGTGCACAGGGCTGAAGAGGGTCCGGGAGTGGACAGGACCTTGGTGGCTGCATGAGGCAGTGTGGGTCACCAATCCTGCTTGAGACAGGAGCCCTTGGTGCATGGATCGGTGCACAGGGTGGTGCATGGGGCAGAGAGGGTCCCCAGCATGGGTCCCCATCCCTGCATGAGGCAGGCACTGCTTCAGTGGACAGGGTGGTGCACAGGGGGCTGAGGGAGGGCTGAAAGGCCTCAGCCGCTGCATGAGACAGCTAGGGCCTTCCTGTAAAGAGTGGCAACCAAGCGGGTCAACCACCCCAGCAAGGGAGGATGCCCCACATTCAACCCACAGATAGAGATGAGCCTAAGCTGCTGGGAAGGGGATTTCCACAGGGGAGGAGCTCTCCCCAACTTGTGTGATCAAAGGGAAGTCCCTGAACTGGAGGAATGACTTCCCTTTGGGAGTAAAGAGAAACCTACACCCCCCCTGTTTGTTAAGGGTGGTTTCCATGGTTATGGGGCCCCTCCTAGCTGTGGCCTAAGGGAGGGTGATGGTGTTGCTTTAAGGTATCAGCTTCCTTCCCCCAGTACCATTTCTTCTTTGGACATAGCTGCTGTGCCATTGTTGTGTTCCGGTTCCTCATGTTGGGATTTTCATTGTAAACTTGTGTCTTTAATGTTGCATTATGAGGGGATTGTAAACTACTTTATTTAGCCTGTTAGCAGAGTCTGCTATTGCAACCCCAATTCTATACCTGAACTTACTGTATTGGTTATTGTTGTGTATTCGTATCCCATTTGATGTAATATCACTGTGCATGTTCTGTTATAGTTCCATCACTGCCAGGTTTTCCTTTGTTGATTTGCTGTCTAACCTGTGATTTAACATTGAGTGTCCCCATGCTTGCTGCCAGGAGAGCCCTGTTGAAGGTAGGGCCTGCATACCAACTGGAAGGCCACAGAGAATTGAGACCTGTGCCTGAGTTCAGGACTGACAAGAGTTATCATCTTTGTAAACCTTTTTTTTTTTTTTTTTTTTTTGCATATGTTTATATGTTTTATATAATGTTGTATAATTAAAACTGTAAATAGTTAAGTATCACTGGATGTCCCTGGTCTCTGCTCTGCTCTGTAGGGGAAGGAGGTAAGCTGGCCTGCAGCTAGGCTATCATGCTCCCACAGCATATATGCACCCACTGACATCTCTTCAATTGAAGAGGGGGTACTAGCTGCGTACCACCCGGGTTACATTTTTTCTTCCTGAGGGGCCCCCCTAGCATGCTCTAAAAACTCCACAGCCCACCTGTGCCCTGCGGAGCAGCTGCTGCCCAGGGAGTGGGAGAGGAGCAGCCTGGCTTCACAGCCCTACCCGCATGGCCCCAGGTGCAGCAGATGGGGCTCAGTGACAGGGAGCCCCAGGGTCCCACTCATCTGAGCAGCAGCAGCGTGGAGTCTCACCCGCTTGACCGCAGCGCCACCTGGAAGATCATGGCTGTGGGGCCAGGCAGGGCAGGGCAGGATGGGCCCACCCCACCCTTTCTTTAGGATTCAACTCAGGCTCAGGGGGCTGAGGCAACTCCCCCCTGCACCGGGCCAGGCAAACCCCCTGAAACCTGCTTGCAGCACCCCAAAGGGCCACAGACTCCCATGTGAGAACCACTGGATTAGATCACCTCTAAGGTATCTTCCAGCCATTCTTTTCCATGATCTCAAGATCTTAAATGTTACATGAGTAAGCCTGATTTGCCTCAGTCTGTTTTTTAAAGGGCTAAGGAGACTCACTACATAGCATCCTATGCAGAGCGTGTCTTTTCATTGATCTTGTACAAGTGTGTGCTGAGCTTTGACATAAACGTAAATGACTGGAGAACTGAAAACAGGAAATCCTTTGTGGCAACTCAGTGATCACAAGGGGGATGCCATACTTTCAGACCTGTGGATTAACGGAACAAGACTATTGGCTAAACTTCCCTAACAAAATTAAAGCAGGCAGAGTTGAGAGCTGAGAATTCTCAAAGAGCCAGTGATGGTTTGCAAACCAAGTTAGGCAGCTGATGTCACACTGTGGGATGGCAGTGCCTCCCTTTAGTCAGCAGACCTCCGGGTCATGTCAAGAGTTCTCCCACCTTACTGGACTCACAATACTGGAATGGGGCACATCAGTATTCTTCTTCAATGGCGTGAGCTGTAATTTTGTTAAGTCAATAAGACAGGTAATGCCTACCAGTTACTATATTGTTATTGTATTGCTTATTGTATTTTAATTTGCTTATTCAGTTTTCTGGACTGTTCAGATCACAGGATTAGAGCCTTTGGGTCTAGAGACTAGAGGCACATGTGAAGAACCTAAAAGTTCCAACGAGCAGCAGTATCAACAAAAAGCTCTCACCAACTATTGTTTCACAGCAGCTGCTGGCTACTCAACACCTTCTCTCACTCTGCAACCTCTCCAAAGCCCAGAAAATGCCAGCAGGAAGGCAGGCATGCAATATGCCCTGACCGTCACCAATGTGGGATTCACAAAATCCCCCTCATCAGGATAGCACCTACAGAGATACTTAATTCCCACTGGAATCCAGGCATGCATTTAAATAGCATCCTGAGTCTAAACTCTGGGAGACCAAAGAAGGATGTGTATGCCTGAGCTGAGGGTGGCTTATTAAAGACACCCTGCCAGTTGGCCTCTGTGGCCAACTACCATCAGAAGTAAACCTGCATCTTGGCATCTCCAATAATCCTAAACATGCCAGGATGGACATGTTTACACAGCAGCAGTAGTGTGCTGAGCAGCAGCAGATATTAGGATGTGCAGATTAGCTTCCCATCAGAGGAGGAATCATTGATTTTCTTAGTGTAACATCTTTCTTTATATTCTTGTATACACCCAGTCCTGGAACAGAGGTGGTAACAAACTGCAAACAGGTGATTCCATCTATGAGGAATACTAGTGCCTTGTTCCCAGGCAGCAGCTCTGCGCCTAGAGATTAAGGCCAAAAAACTCCCTTGCTACTTGCAAGGGTTCATTCAAAAGAAATGACAACAGAGCTCCTAAACAATACAACAGCCCTTTCAAAGACTATACACTGCTTTTATGCTAAAGCAAAGAATCTGTAAGACTATGTAATAGCTCCATCCGGTGACTTCTACTGTAATAACAACATGCATTTGATTTCAAAGTACTTCAAAATAATTCATTAATCCTTAAGACATCCATGAAGCAATAAATGAATTGACTTGGGAAAACTTAGGTCCAGAGATATGTAGAGACTTAGGTCCTGTATTCTTCATCAACTAAGACTTTCTTATTTGAAAAGGAAAGTGTCTTGGTCCAGGAGGCCTGGATTTGCCATCGAAGAGTATACTCTGAATACAGCAGTTCCCAGATATCATGGAAAGTTGGACAAGATGCTTTTGAGCTGTTAATTTAAAAAGCACAGGCAGCTTAACAAATCCTTACTATATAAGCATCAGACTTTGACTGTAGCTGAAAGAAAAATTAGCAACAGTACAGACATTACTGTATTTTAAAACAATACTCTTCACAGTCCCAGAGAAGCTGTTCCTAGGTATTTATTCATGCTAAAAGATCACTCTGTCTTTCCTCATATTAACCAACCAACACCAGTCTATTACATTTAGTGATATTTTTAAAACTTCTTAAATGCACTGTGTGTGGATCTATTTTGAAGAAATGATAACAAAACTGCCTCACCTCCTCTGTGTCACTGTGCAGGTACCAGAAGAATTAATGCCTTGGTAACTATGACCTCTTACTGATTTGTGGACCCTTCCAGTAGTGACAGGTACTTCTTCCTGTGTAAGGAGAACCTTCTTCCTGCTACACAGCGGGGTGTCCAACCTTCTCAGACTGAGATTGAGACATATTGTTGCTAAAAGGGCCACAAGCAAAGGTCTGAGAGGGCCTCTATGGGGCCTGTGCAGTGCAAAGAGAGTAGAACCTCCTCCCACTTCCCCACAAATTCCTCTCCTCAGTGGTGAGATTTCTCAGGTGGAAGAAGATGGGCACAAAGGGCTTTCACTTACCAGGCACAGGGTTTGTGTCAAAGGAAGCAGCTGGATTGTGCTGTGCTATGGCCATGGCCAACCAGCCTGGTGCACTGGAACCATGGCAGAGTACCAAGGTAGTCATTACTGGCCACTGGTTGTCTAAACACCTCCTCCTCTCCTCTTCTGGGCTGCTCTAGCTCTCTGATGATGATAGAGAAGAAAACAATGGGCTGCTGGGAGCTTCCCTTGGCTTAGCTAGGTGTGCCAGTCAAACCTCCATCCTGCTCTTCCCAAGCTTCTTGTAGACAAGCAGGGACCAATTTTTTCAGCAGGCATGCCACACGCTAGCCCCACACTTTCCACAAGTGCCACTCCAATCCCCTTTTCCTGCCCAATTTGCTTCTCTGCTTTCTGCCCTATCTGCAACTGTGCTACATGTCCCCTCCCCAATCTGCCACGTGCCATGTCCAGAGGCTGCTCATACCACCTGTGGCACGTGTGCTGCATGTTAGGTACTGTTGCCATAAGCCATCAGGAAAACCACAGCACTTTGTAACAACAGAATGAGACAGATTCAATTACTAGTTTGGACATCACAGAACACAATACAAGGGCTACAACTGCAGTCTGAATCCAATACTGACCTTTATACGTCAACTCTTGAGAACTGCAACATAGAGTTTCTGGAGCTACCTGCCATACACCCCTGATTTAGCAGCTACTATGAAAGGAAATTAATTCCTTATTCTCTGAGGTGAAGCCATTTCCACTAGTAAGCTCCAGAAGGAACTGTCAAATGAAACTGCTGTCAAACAATTTGGTTTGTTTCCTTAATTGTCTCTCCTGCCAATAGCTGAACTATGCTTCATATAATGGGATATTTAAAAGCCCCCATGGAGAAGCAGGGCACTCCCACAGAGAATGATATGTAAGCCACAAGAAAGCAAGGCAAGAAGGATGAGGTGAAAACAGAACTAGAGAAGATGGGTAGCAAGCTGCTGACAATTGCTTTCTCTGTAATGCTAATTGTCTAATTTTTGCTTCCTCAGGGTATTTGCCTGAGACCTTCTGGGCTTTAGCACCTGGTTCACCACAGAAATGGCTTCTTCAGCTTCCTCTCAGTGCCCTCAGGTGGTCTCCCTTTCACCAGCCCATGACCCTTTGGTGGGGGGGGGAGATGTCTCAGCTCTTCAAGTGCTCAGCAGTCATCAGTCACCTCAAGGGTCTAATGAGAAGCACCTGGAGCAGTAGACTGCTATCTGGATGTGCCTACAAGCTATGGTTCTAGGTGCATAGCTGCAAGAGCATGAGCAAAAGCCTAAGATCTAGAACGGTGGAAAGTTTACCTCCAAAATGTATGTTAACTGCAATAACTTGACGTAAAATCTTGAAGAGAGGAGCAGACCCTACCTGTACGAACTGCAGCACACTACAATTTTGCTTCTGTCAGGAGACTCAGTTTTGAAGCAGACATGTATCTATTTGCACCTTCAGGGCCACATGCGTTCTCTGGAACCAAGAGGAACCAGGGCATTTGCTGGGGGAACTGGAGTCTGTGTCAGGATTGCTCCCCAGTGTTGCTGTTTTTAAACAGCTTTACCCCGTGTTAGAAATATAAATTGCAGGCAATTGGACTGCAGCTCCCCAATGCTCCCAAGGAAAGTTCTGGCTATTAAGGAGTAGTTTTGTTTGGTTTTCCAGTGATTACTGGTGGAGTCTCATCACCTGGCTTGAGAAGAAACGTGGAAAAGTGTTTTAAGGGAGAAAAGGCACATGTGTATACCTTTTTGTATGTGTACACAAACATAGACATATACACATGTATATAGATGCACATACAAACATGTATGTAGAGATGTGTCTATCTATCCACACATGTATACACACACATGTAAACATAACACACATACACATAAGTTTGAGAAAATGAAAAACACTGACTGGCTAAAGGCAACAAGATGTGGAAGCAAGAGGAAATGGGAAAGCTGGTCCTGCAGTTGTGCTCAGACTAGTAGAGGAGTCCATGCTAAGAGGCAGTGGGTGTTGGCTGGAAGAGCACTTACCTGTTTTAAACAGTGGGTTTTGTGAAAGGCTAACTATTCCATATTGTTGTTGTTACAGGGATTTTGTGAGCTAACATATTTTAGTGGACTACTACCTATGAGACGCAGTAGTTTTGATATTTACAACTATTTTTGCTCTTCCTGTCCCTTGTTTCTCAGAACCTACATCAAAGATTTCTTATACTATAACTGTAATGTGAAGTTCTCTATGAAGAATCCCCAGAAAGCTGAGGATCTCTCAGATGCCTGTTTCTTGTGGATTGTGTGCAGATGAATAAAGAACTGAACTTGTTTTAGCCTGTTTATGACTAAGAGCAAGTCATTAAAATTTCATATATTTCCAAAAAACCTCTGTGATGGGTGAGTATGGTTTACTTAATCTTTCTGGTTCAATTACTTTCAGTTTTCTGTTATGAGGCTCTGGGTAAGGTTGTTTGGGTGCAGTTACAGAAAGGATATACTCAACATATTTGCTACATACTGTCCAGGGGGCATTGAGCTTCTAATGCACTGGTCACCAACCCATGGTTTGCAGGCAAACAGACTGCCTTGGAGACCTTCTGATATTGCTTGTGCACATTAGAAATTTAAAAGTTAAAAATGAGATTGACAGGGAGAAGAAAGGATGTTGCTGCTCACAGCACATTACTTGCTGAATGCTGTAGCAAAAGTTTGGAGGTCACTGTTTTGACTATTCCCATTGCAACAAGAGAGAGAACAGTATGAGTGTCCAGAGCCAGTGCTAGGGCACAGACAGATGTAACAATTAAAATGTCAGAGGCATAGGCACCAATTTTTATTTTTGCCAGGGGAAGGGGGGACTAAGATGATGCCCCGCCCCCCGCAACACACACAGCATGGGCCTTGCTGCCCTCCCCCAAGGGCGCATGCGGGCTGCCTGATGTTGCCTTGGGGCTCCCCACCCTGCTGCCCTCCTCCTGGGAGCCCCACGCTGGCTGCACTGCCATGGCTAGACACCCCCTGCCTGCATGCCAGCAGCAGGGGGCACAACTCCACACTGTTGCCCCCCCGCTGCTGCTGGGCAGGCAGGGGGTGCCTCACAATGGTGGCATAGCTGGTGCAGAGCTCCCGGAAGGAGGGCAGCAGGGCAGGGAGCCCTGAGGCAGCAGCAGGTAGCCCACATCTGCCCCCACCCTGCACACAAAACTAGGGGACATGTGCCCCCCCTACATACCCTCCTCCCCAGGAGTGTGTACAGCAGTAGGGAGCTTCCGCCCCCCCCCCCGGTTAGGCTGTCCATAGTTCTGTCCTGCTCCCTGCCCCAGCCTTGGGCCCCATGCAGTTGGGCAGTGCCCCCAGGGTATTTGGGAGGCCCCCACCACCACCTTCCCCATCCCTACTTACCTTCATTCACCCCACCACTCCAGAAAGCAGACTGGGGAGCTGAGTGTGGAACTGCAGGTTGCTACAGCCTGCTTTAACACCCTTTGGTTGGCCCTGGAGAAGGCTGCAGTGGTCTGATATACTCGAGCAAGGAAATTCACAGGGGCTGTTTGTATGTTCTCTGACTGAAATTTTTTCTTTTTGAAGTATTCCCAAGTGCCTTTGACTTGAAAACATTTCAGTTCTATCTTTCCACACTCAAAGGCTACCCCTGAGTGCACCAGTATGTTCACAATGTGAGCTTAAGTTACACTATTTCAAATAAAGGCTGGGTATCAGTCACAGAAATTGTGGCCATCACATCATCTTAGGGGAAGTCTGCATTGTATCCCCAGCTCCTTCTGAGAGAGTTGCTCATGAGAATGAATACTCCCCATTCCAACAGTCACTCCCATACCAGTCCTGACAGGACTAATGTATGTTTTACTAATGTATGATGTTTCACATAATGTAAATGTAACCCTTCTTACAGGCCATGGACAAGGGCTAGGTTCAAAGTAAGGGGTTTAACAACAACCATAGTAAAAAAACAAGTTTAGTTGTGAGTAAAAATTTGCAGATTATCAGTTAAAAAATGCAGCCAGGCTGCAGATGGATGCCACCTCTCCTCCCTGCCCCCACTCCCTCCCACCATGGCTGGAGCGGGACAGAGCCAAGCAGGGCGAGGGCTGGTGTGGGCTGCCCGCTGTGGGCTTATGGCTCTCTGCTCTGCTACCTTTGTCCCGGGGGACCCGCTCCAGCTGTGTGCATCCTGCCCACTAGGCAGCAGGAGGCACAACTTACCACACCCCCTTCCTGCGCAGCAGCAGTGGGGGTGTGGCTGGCATGGGGCTCCCAAGGGCAAAGCAGCAGAGCAGAGAGCCCCGAGCCCAAAGCAAGCAGCCTAGCATAAGGTTATACAGGACTTTAAAGATGGTTTCCATACAGAGGACAGTAATATCCACATGCTTGCAAGAGTCACAAAACCGGGTCTGAGTTACAGCTCAGACCAGATGTTTGTACTGGTGAACAGTGAGAGAAGTTCTGATTTTTATTAAAGAAGATGTGAGTTGGGATCACAAACAAGTTATTTATGATGCTTCCTCCCCATTAGAGAAATGTTAGGTGTGTTGTAGGTTTTAATGCAGATATCACCCAAAAAGCCCCATCTGAACATTTGTGAAAGATACAAGTCCAACTGTATGAAGGTATCCCTAAGGGGGCATTTACACTATGCTCACAGAGCTTCTGGGGATGTGTCACTTATGAGCATGCCCTGCCTACCTGCTCCCACTCATAGTTAGTTTCACAGATGGTAGGGTTGGAAGGGAGCTGAGCAGATCATCAAGTCCGACCCCCTGCCAATGAAGTCCGACCCCACTCAGATGCCCCAGACTTCAAAATGGGCCAGTAAAGTGGCTTGTAAGGTGTTCTCCTAAGCCCCACCTACTTTTGACCATGTTGGAAACAGTGAACTCAAGAATAGCATTGGAAGTGGGGAAGCTAGGGGGATGACTCCCAAAGTGACTTCACTGCCTCCCTCCCAGGTAGTATTGCTCATTGCCTGTAAAAAAAAAAAAAAAAAGAAGCTAAAATTGCCTGTTTGTTGGTAAAAAAAGAAAACAGCTAAGCAATCATGAGCTTGTTTGAAGCTCCACTGTAGCAAAGAGACTGGAAGCAAGCACTGATGGACAGAAAGAGCAAAGCAGTAGCACCTGGTATCTGAGCAACAACACAGCACTCCACAAGGAGCACTTTCTCAGGGCTTTGTAACTCAGCATAGAACCAAGGTGCCAGGGGTGGCTGTGATGGCCCCTGGTGGCCAAGCACTTCCCACCCCACTCCAGCTTCTGGATGGTGTAAAGTCCTGTATAACTTTTCAAGGGAATCTCCTCCACAAGTTTCTCACTTCCCGCTGCTTCTCTCTTTCCCACCTTTCACTCAACCCCCTGTGGGGGGACAGCTGGGGGCATTTACTAGGGAGACAATTGGGGACATCCATCTGGGTTCCCTCAGGGCAGCAAATCCAGAAAGCTCCACTCAAAGCAAAAGTTATTCTTACAGTCCTGCTGTTCTTCACATCATTTTCCTGAATCATCACTTTTATGACAAATCTTGATTGGAAACAAGAGGGTATGTTCAAGACAAATAGAGCCATTTACCAGCTAAATATCCAAAGAGCAGTTAGTGCACAAACACCTTTCTGTATGAAGTAGAACTGGTTTGTCCAGAAAACACCTCCTGGCTTCAGTCTATATTACTTAAGAAATTTCCTTTCAGCACCACCTTTATCTTTATAGATACGCTCGCAACCTTCTACTTTCAATAGGTAAGTCTAGGGAGCTAGAATTATCATAACTTGAATAGAGTAATTTGGTTCTATACTA